GGGTCAAATGGTATCTCTATTTGCAACTTTTTGAGAAAGCGCCATACCGCTTTCCACAGGGGTTGCACCATTTTACACTCTCACCAACAGTGAATAACGGTTAACAAACTCTTATCTATAAAGACATACTATCTCCAGCCACAGTGGTAAAGGCACTGAAGAAGAGGATGATGGGCCAGCTCTGGAGTGGGGGTGCTGCCTCCATCAACTGCTTCTGCTTGTCCACATCCAGACCCCTGTGAAATTTCACTCTAGGGAAGCACAGCTGACTGGGGAGAGGCTCTGGAGAGAGGCCATGGATGGGGTGCCCTGATGGTGTGGACGACACTCCACTTTTCACAGTCAGAGATGACCCTTAAGGAGCAGTTTGGCAACAGTCTGTGGCAGGCTGTCTGTAACTGCCCCCTCTCCCTTCCCCTTCTTTTCAGCCAGGGCCAACTCGTTTGTGGGGACAGCGCAATATGTCTCTCCTGAGCTGCTCACGGAGAAGTCAGCCTGTAAGAGGTGAGCCTCACCTTGATTGCATGTGCATTTGGAATTTTCTAGAAGGATTTAATGAACAATAGGAGTTTTCTGTGGGTGTGGGGCCTGGATTATAAGGGCACCATCACTAAACACAGGTAACACTCATGATCTATGCTTTTGCAAATTGCACAGTGCCTCGTGTGCAATTTCTAATTCTCCTGTGTGTGGTGTACTGTTGTGGTGTTTATGTGAACACAAATCAGCATCCCTTATGTTTTTTTACCTTTTTAATCATATACTATTTATTTCTGTGTGTGTGTGTGTGTGTGTGTGTGTGTGTGTGTGTGTGTGTGTGTCACACTTACGTACTGTCAAATGGGATCTGACTGGTACTGGAGATTGTCCCTGCTTTCCTGGCAGAGCATCTGGTGGATTTGAACCATGTGCCTCTGAGATTGCAATGCAGCTTCTTGCCACTAGGCCACCAGAGCTCCCCTTATACACTGTTTATTTAAGGATAATAAAACCTTTCCCAACGCTTTTCCCTGTGAGGTATTCTTTTAGAGGATCTGCAGGCTGAAAGCAACCCTTCATCTCAGCGTCTGTTTGCATGATTCTTGTACAAGGGTCTCACCGAGTAGGCCATGTGGTACTGGTGATGGCATGGACCTTCCCATAGGAGAGTTGCCTGCAGACTTGTGTGGTGCTCGGTGGACCGTGTCCTCCCTGCTGGCTTCCTGTGGGGTGAAGGCAGTTCTCCCCTTTGTGTTCTCTCGCTGTCTCTTTCTCCCTCTCTCATTCCTCCTTTGCCCTCTTTCCTGTCTCTCTACTCTCCCTCCTTTGTTGTCACTGGAGGTGGCACTACCCAAAGCCCACTGTCCAGTGTGTCAGTGCTCATGAATTCTACTGCCCATAGTAGGAGGCATGTGAGGAAGACCCTGCTGGAGGGGTAATCTCAGAATGATTAGGAGATCTCCCCTGGTCACCGATTTCCCAGGAGAGGAGACCACTGGGGGCTGTCATGGGTAGGTTGATTGCTCAAGCAGGACAGTGACCCTGCTTGTTGCTGACATTTAACAGACATTTTCTTTGTTTTCCTCCACCCTAAAGTTCAGATCTTTGGGCTCTCGGCTGCATAATCTACCAGCTTGTGGCAGGCCTCCCACCCTTCAGAGCTGGGTAAGAGATTGATGGCGGGGCGGGTGGCTCGTGCTAGTTCTAGGGAAGGACAAGGCTGGGAGGTCATGACTGCTGCAAAGGTGTGGCTTTCATGTTTTGTGCAGCTGTGTGAGTGCTTGAGAGCAACGGAGAGAACAGTGGACCCCACACATTGGGACTGTGTTTCTTATTTTGTTGTGGCCACTTTGTTTCATAGGAACGAGTATCTCATATTCCAGAAGATCATTAAGCTGGAATATGACTTTCCAGAAAAATTCTTCCCCAAGGCACGAGATCTTGTGGAAAAGCTCTTGGTGAGTACTGTGAAAATGTCCACAGCCCACTTGCGTCCCTCTGCCCTGTGTGCAGAGTGTGCCCTCGGCCTGACCACTGGTGCCTGAACAGTAAGGCTAGGTGACCTCTCTCAAGTATTCCTATCAATCTAGGAGTGGAGTCACTTAAGAGAGACATGTCAGCTTACGTTCTGAAAACAGAGGTGTCTTACCTCAGAACACTTTGTACCTGGCTTGCCTGACAGGCAGAGAAAGCTGTACACTTGTTCTCTATCCCTTCAGTGGGGAGGCGCTACGCCTCCTGAGAGAGGGGCCTGTGGTCACTGGGAAAGGAGATTGCTCAGAGATTGAGTGTGTGCTGTCAGACAGGCAGGCAGGTCACTGGGTCCTTGGTCATTAAGGCCAATAACTTAGTGTTTTTCCTGTTCCAGAATGTTCAGAGTCTGGAATGCTTGGTGCTTTTTTGAGTACTTTGTTTTCTTCTGAGAGGCTGGTCCCTGTTGTTTCTGGAATACCTGGCAAATGGACCCAGATCCCTTAGGATTGCTTTTGTCTGCCCTGTGACTTTTGAGCCAAGGCACTGACCTATCTCACTGTCCCCCGCCTCCCCCCACTCAGGTCTTAGATGCCACGAAGCGGCTGGGCTGTGAAGAGATGGCTGGGTACGGACCCCTGAAGGCCCATGCCTTCTTTGAGTCCATCTCGTGGGAAGACTTACACCAGCAGACGCCTCCCAAGCTGACCGCATACCTGCCAGCCATGTCGGAAGATGATGAGGACTGCTATGGGAATGTGAGTGGCTTTGAGGCTAGGTGCATTGGGAGGTTCAGTCAGGAGCGGTCTTGGGGGCATGGAGGCAGTACGGTGAAGATAGGAGGAGCAAAGGGGTGCCTGCCCCTGGGGTTGCTGGGCAGCTCTGCAGAGGCATGGAAAGCTTTTCATGGCCAAGCAGAGCCTGGAGTGGGTGCAGGGGCCTGAGGCATGGTCTCTGCTCTTCCCACAGTATGACAACCTCCTGAGCCAGTTCGGCTGCATGCAGCTGTCATCGTCGTCATCATCCCACTCGTTGTCAGCGGCAGAGCCGCCCCACTCAGGCAGTAGCATTGAGCATTACATCCACGACCTGGACTCCAACTCTTTTGAGCTGGACTTACAGTTCTCCCAAGATGAGAAGAGGCTGCTGCTGGAGAAGCAGGCGGGTGGGAACCCTTGGTAAGGGTACAAGCCCAATGGGAGGGAGGGTGCTGGTTAGAGGAGGACCTCCAGAGTCCAAGGGGGCGGGGAAGTGGGCTTGGGACTGAGTCCTTATCTGCCCTGGCTCACCGGATAAGGCCCTACACTCTCTGTTGAGGGGTGACTGTGACTACAGCTTCACCTGAATGTAGTCATTGTGTTCTGGCCAGGTACTTGGTGGTCTTTGCATGGTCTCTTCCTGCTTGGGTGGGGTTGGGGCTAGGAGGGGAGGAGCCTGTGGAGCTGACATTGTGTGCCCAGCAGCTTGGCCTTCTGTGGGCTTGAATATCCTGACACAGCTCAGGACATCACACTCACTTCTGGGACCGTGGAGGCAGCAGCTTGGATGCTCACAGCTGACTGTATTCATTTTTTGAGCATTTAGTAGCCTTTGAGGAGCCCTGGTAATGTGGTGGTTAAAGTACTCAGCTGCTAAGGGAAAGGTCTGTGGTTTGAACTCACCAGCTGCTCCCTTAAAGGTGACAGCATCTGAAAGCTGGTAGGTCAGCTCTGTCCTGTCCTCAGGCCACTGGAAGCCAGTGCCAGCTGCACAGCACCGGAGTTGGTCTGGTTTTTGGTTACCTCTTTTTGTATGTTTTGCACCTTTCAACAATGTGAAGAGGTGTGCATATGAAGCATATTTCTTCTTTATTGTATATTTTGTGAATGCTTTTCTCTAAATCATCAGTCTGTTGATAGTAGGTGAGTTTCTTTGGACGGAGAGGGATGTGGAACTTGTAATGTGTGAAAGAGGTAGACCTGGGCCTGTGATTTCTTTTTTCCTCTTGAGTATCCCACTCATGTCATCATTAGATGCTGATCTAGCTTGGAGGATGCAGGGTGTTGGGCAAATGGGCTTGTTTCTTGATATAAACATCACTGCTGGAACATGTCTGGCCTTCAGGATGGATTTCTGGAAGGGAGCAGTTTTCTCCAAGTCCTCTATCTCTTCTCTTGTGCTGCTGTAGCAGAAATACACAAAAGGGTGACTTTTTTTAGGCTTGATAATTTGCATTTTTTTAAAAAACGAATTTCTTTTCTATTGATTTGTTTACAAAGCTTGTATGCATTGTGTTTCACACTATTCATTCACAGTGTGTTTCATATAATCATTCTGATTCATTATATTTTATAAAATTAATTGCTTTTGAACTATATTTTTGCCCATTTTATAATTGGGTTATTGGTCTTTTTCTTGTGGAGACCCTGTGGGTTTCTGTAAATATTAGACCCAAAAGGGTGACTTTAGTTTCTTGTTGCTCAAGAGCTTGAAGTTTGAATGCAGACTGTTGCTCTAGGAGAAGGCATCTTCTCTTTTTGTTAGTCTGCTCCTGGGTGACCTTCATGTGGCTTAGCATACCTCTCCCCCAGACTCAGCTTTCTTGCTTGTTTAACTATTTTTATATCTCAAAGGATTAAAGACATTCAGCCTTTGAGTTGAAATAGTTAAGGATGCTTTGCCCAGAATATGAAATGATTCAGGAAGCATCAAAATAAGATGCAAGGAGTATACAGAGTCACTATATCAAATTCAATTAGCCTACACAGAAGAATTTAATGGAATAACATATAATTAAGAGCCTCTGGTGATGAAGCAGGAAGTTCAGGCTTCTCTGAAGGAATTAAGGAAAAACCAAGGCCCAGGAATTGACAGCATACCAATTGACATATTTCAACAAACAGACACTGACCTGGATGCACTCTTTAAGTTATGCCAAAAAAATCTTGAGGACACCTACCCAGCCAGCTGACTGGAGGAAATCCCTACGACAGAGTGCAGAAATTATCAAAGAGTATCATTAATATCACATGCAAGCAAGATCCTGCTGACAATCCAAAAATGGCTGCAGTAGCACATCAATAGAGAGTTAATTGTCAGATGTGCAGGCTGGGTTTAGAAGAGGCTGTGGCACTAGGGATATTATAACTAATGTTAGATGGATCTTGGCAAGGACACTTGACTGTGTGGATCACAACAAACTGTGGCTAACTCTGAGAAGAATGGGAATCCCAGAACACTTGGTTGTGCTTATGTGAAACCTATACTTGGACCAGGAGGCAGTTGTCAGAATAGAGCAAGGAGACATTACATGGTTTAAAATCAGAAAAAATGTATGCCAAGGATGAATTTTATCTCCATACCTTTTCAGTCTATATGTGGAACAGATCATCTGGGAGGCTGAACAGTATGAGGAAGAATGTGGCATCAGAATTGGAGGAAGACTCATCACCAACCTTTATCATGGAGATGATGCAACCTTGCTTGCGAAAACTGAGCAGGACCTGAGGCATTTGCTGCAGAATGTCAAGGACTGACACCTTCAATATAGATTGAAGCCCACCATCAAGAAAACGAAGATTCTCACTACTGGGCTGATTTGCACCATCATGATAGATGGTGATTGAGATTGTTAACAGCTTCTGTTTACTTGGCTCCACACTCTTGTACTGTTGTTGTTGTTATGTGCCATCGAGTCGTTTGCGACTCACAGCAACCCTATGTACAACAGCCCTAAACCCTGCTCTATCCTGTGCCAGTCGTATTGCCTCTGATACACCCATCCCGATTACCCCAGTCACTGAATCGATCCACCTCATGGAGGGTCTTCCCCTCCTGCGCTGTCCCTCTACTCTGCCCAGCATGATGTCCCTCTCCAAAGACCTGTCTCTCCTTGTACTCTTGTACTAGCAACCAGGAAATGAAAAACAAATTGCATTGGGAAAATCTGCTGTCAAGGACCTTGCCAGAATACTGAAGAGCAACAGTGTCAGCCTGGAGACTAAGGTGTGCCTGATCCAGGTGATGGTCTTCACAATTACTTGAAGTTACTTCACAATTACAGAAAGCTGGAAAATGACAAATGATGACAGAAGGAGAATTGATGCCTTTGAGTTGTGCTGAAGAAAAGTATTTAATATACCGTGGACTGCTAGGAGAACAAATAAGTTTGCCCTAGAGAGGGTGCGACCAGGCTACTGCTTGGAGGCAGGGATTCTGAAGCTCCATCTGACATACTTTGGGCATGTTGCAAAGAGGGACCAGTCCTTGGAGAGGGACAGTGCAAGAGAGGAAAACCCTGGATGAGATGGATTGACTCGCTGACTAGGGTAATGGAGGTAGGTGTGTTAGAGACAATGGGTTGGCTCAAGATAGAGCGGGGTTCAGAGCTGTTGGTACATAGGGTCGCTATAAGTCTCAAGCAACTCATCGGCGTATAACATCAACAACAAAAACAACAATAACAACAACATATACTTTAATATAAAAATGTTTCTAGTTATTGAAAAGACTATATAATGTAATGCAACAGTTTCTAAAAAGTTTTCAGTATTTCAGACTTCTCCATCATGCTACCGCACAGTTCGTAGTAGTCACTGGGGAAGAAAACAAGTCAGGTGACATCTAATAGCTCGGTTCACTTCATCACAGTGGTCTAGAACTGAACCTGTGCTGATATATATCTGAAGAGACACAGTTCAATCCCTAACAACTCCCATGATTTCAGGTCAGCAAAGCTGAGCAAGAGTGCCATTTTCAAGTGAACACTTAGCATTAGCTCAGACAGCAGTGACTCCCATTTACTAGCAGTGAGGGAGGCCTGTACTGTCTCCTTCCCCAGTTCCTCTCCTGAGGGTGACTCCAGAGTTCTGGGTAGTCTTAGACCTAAGGACCCTGCAGAGGGCAAAGCTCTCCCAGTTCCAGTCAGGTTTGCCAAGTGACTTACCCAGCATGCCTGCCACTTCTTTTTTTTTTTATTTTTTTATTTTACTGGGAAAAACATATTGGGGGTACAAGGAGGCGAGGGTTGGGGGCAGAAGGGTGAAGATGGGCAGGGATGCAGTTGCAGAGCTGCAGAAATTGGTTGGTGGGGGGAACAGGTGAAGGAAATGAAAAGGATCCAGTGGGGACTGGATGCTACAGGGGAATGATAAGCATTTTCCAATGGTATTTAAACCAACTGTCTTATTGATTTGGGAACTGGATGCAGACTCTCTGGCTTCTTCATGCTGAACAGGGGTGTTGATGTGAAGGGGGAAAGGGAGGACACTTTATCACCTTACTGGTGATCTTGGGTTAAGGCTGCTTGCCTTCTTGTTCTGTTAGAAGATATTTTCCTGTCATTTGCTCCCCTCTGGACTGCAAAGTGTTTTCCCAGGTGAGTCCAGTGGGGATGGCTGGTTGAACCCAGAGGCTCCATCCTCCTTTGCTTCCTTAGCTGTCAGTTGTATTTCCTTTTTGTCACTGGCACTGGGTTCAGGGTCAGGTCTGAAGTAAAACTCAGTGTTAAGGTTACCTATAGGAAAGGGAGCAAACCTAGAGAGAACAAACTTGTGAGTTACAAATAGAGGGGTTTTGGGGGTGTTGCTTTCAGGTTTACTGGGGGAGAGGGTGGCGAAAAGTAGCCTAGATAAAATTCTCTGGATACCCTAGGCATTTTTCCCCCACCCAGGGGTCAGATGGCACAATCTGGGGACTGAGGAGCTCACCCTGAGGTCCGTGACGGCTCCCCCCAGGCTGGGGGCCGAAGACAGCCCATCCCGAGCAGGGCAACAACCCTCATAAGCTGGCTGGTACACTTCCCCTCTAATTGCCCCCACCCCAATCTGGTCCCCTCACCTGACCGAGAACTATGTGGTCAGGGACAGTGTCTCCAATTCCAGCACCTCCACTTTTACCCCCCCCCGTAAGTGGTCATACTATAATTTGAAGTAGGTGGTGTCACCGCCCTCTGCCTTTATAAATGGCAAAGGGAACCTGAGAATTGTGAACAGGCTACCCCCGTCCCCAGTCTAAACAGCTTTTGGCAGAATCATTCAACAGATCAAAATATGTGGTGCATTTAGGATGTCGGTCCTCTTGGTCATGCTGCCACTGTTAAGTGTAATCAAGTAGACAACTCACGGTGACTTTCAACGATCCATTGTATAGGTGATCATCTTCTCTGGCCTGTCCAAGAAAACACAAACCTGCAGGCGGTGGGGCGCACCATCTCTTGCTCCGGCAGGTGGCTGGCAGACGTGCGCCCTCTCCCATGTGGGCGGCCAGTGGGCGCGCGCCATCACGTCATCTCGCGCACACGTGACCTGCAGGTGCACACCATCTCATGTGCAGGCAGCCAGGGGGCATGCACCATCTCCGGTGCGTCATCTCCCACACGGGTGGCTGGCAGGCAAGCTTCATTTCGCGCATGGGAGGCCAGTGGCAGCCCGCTTCCCCTGCCGCCTCCATCTTGGCTCCAAGAATTCTCCCTAGAACAAGTCCACTTTGCGGCAGTGTGGTGGCTCCGCTGTACCAGTTTTGGGGAGGCGCGGTGCCTGCCATCCATCTTGGGTGAGGGAATCCATAGGTTCCGGCTGTGGGAGCCTCATGGAGCTGCTGCAGCAGTGTGGCACGGTGTGGGCTATGCAGGAGGGGGTTGGGAGCTGTGAGACTCACCCATTCCTCCTTGGGAATCCTTGAATTCCTGTTGTTGAGCCTCAGTCTTCACTGAAGACCAGTCATCAACTGTTTAACTGTTCAATTATTAATAAACAGAAGTCTGTAGAAGGCCAAAGTGGCTGTTTCAAGTGGTCTGCTGCTCCTGCAGCTCACCACGTTGTCTCCGCCTCCGCCGCCATCTTCTGTTAGGCCTGCCACTTCTTGTTACTGTTTTAAATTTTTTTTTAAATTGTGATTTAACTGCAGGTTTACCAAGGTAACTAGTTTCCCATTCAGCCATACACATCTTGTCCTATGACATGGGTTACATCACCCAGTATAACAGCACTCTTCCTACTTCTGTCCTGTGATTCTTGTTTCTACTTAGCCTCTTTCTTACCCCTTCCTGCCTCCTGAGACCTCTCCCTGGACACATGTTGCCCTTTTTATTTTGAATGGTTGGTGTGAGAAGTGAGTGCCTTCCTGGCATTACTGGTTAATTTATAGTCCTATCTATGGTCTGGCTGAAAGTTGACCCATGGTGTGTTTTGATCCAGGTTCAAAGATGAGAATCAAAAAGAGAAAAAGATGAGAACCATAGTCTTAGAAGTTCCACCAGTCTCTATCAGACCAATATGCCTGACCATTGCAGGAGTGGCATCCACTTCCTAAACATCCCTCCAGAAACTCTATGAACTTTGATAAATGTTGATAGTCATAGAGGGGCTTCAGGCCTTTTGTTCATAGGGTCGCTATGAGTCGTGCTCGACTCGAAGGCAATCAACAACAACATCCCCCTACTCCAGGACCTTCTGTTGATCTCCTTTGTAACACTTGAGCAGTGGTGGCCCAGTGCCATCTAACTCTGGTCTCAGGCTTGTGGCAGTTGGAGTTTGTGTCATCCACTAGTCCTTTGAGCTAATTGTTTCCTTTCATCTTTACTTTTCTTCCCTCTTCTTTGTTCTAAACATGGAAAAGCCAGTAGTTGCACCTTAGATGCCTGCTTGCTGGCTTTAAGACCCCATGGCTATACAGCACAGTTTTATGTAGTGTAATTAAACACAGTACAAAACATAGTCATAACCTGAACAGACTCTTCTTCCCCACACTATCAGCCTGGATTCCCCCACTGCTCTGTTGTTTTTAAGTGTGCTGCTGGCTCTCAGTTTTCTGTGTTCCTTGTCCTCGGCCTCCTTTTCCAAAATCTCAGTGCTTAGGCCAGACCAATCTTCCCAGTGAACTGGAAGCGGTGCTATGTTGAGTTCTGAAAGAATGATTGCATTAAAGCCCTAGGAAAACCCAGGGCTTCTTTAAGGTGTCCCATCCTCTCCTTCGCCGTGAGTCCTTCCAGTCCTACTCTTGATCTATTTCACATTTGGCTTTGAGTCTCTTGGAGTAGGAAGCCTCACTTCTCTCAGAAGCCTTGGCACCTTGCTCCGCATGTTGCTGGTTGTTCTCAGAGTCATCCTGGCAGTGTTGTCTCTGCCCCTGGCAGAGGCTGCCGAGGGGGAAACTCTCCGTATACTCAGCACAGGCGAGTGGGTCCCAGCTGTGGTGCTTCTAGGCTTGCTCACTTGAGGAGGATAAGTCAGGCTTGGCGTCTGTCTGTAGTTTTTGGTTGTTTTGGATGAAGGTTGACAGCAGTTTGGTTTTTCAGTCAACCGCTCATTCATGCTTATTTTAATTTGTGACATTGATGACAGTCCCCTCAATGTCACACTCCTTTCCATTCATCCTCCATTCCCGCCCTTCTGCCTTGTGAATATTCTCTTGGGGCTACTGCTTCCCGTTTTGTTACAGGCTACTTGTCCTAAGGTCTGTACCTCCCAGCTATTGCTGATAGCCTTGTGGACCTCTTTGTTGTTCAACTGTTTGCTGACCCCATGTGGCCAGGAGTGTGTTGAGTTTCTGGTCCTCTTCTCCTCTTCCAGGCATCAGTTTGTAGAGAATAACTTAATCCTGAAAATGGGTCCCGTCGACAAGCGGAAGGTGAGTAACTGCTGCAGCCCTTTCAGGGGCCATCCACACTGCTGCTTGACCCCCAAGGGACAGTCTCTGGCTTTATTCCTCTAAATAAAGGAGAGGAGACATGGGGGACCTGTCCAAACCACACAGGAGGCAGGGCTTGGGCTGCCCGTGCAGGTGAATATTCCAGTGTGCATGTAAGGGTACAGGGGGCACCATTGCCACAAACCTGAAGACTCTGTGAGGCTCCCCTGCTCAGCCCCTGTCCTGTGCCTCTGACTCAGTCCAGACCCTACCTGTTCTAAGGAGGCAGGAGTACCCCAGCACCTTTACAGGCTTGTGATGGGCTTTTGCTCTTCCCAGGGCTTGTTTGCACGCCGACGACAGTTACTGCTCACAGAAGGCCCGCATTTGTACTATGTGGACCCCGTCAACAAAGTTCTCAAAGGGGAGATCCCGTGGTCCCAGGAGCTGCGACCAGAAGCCAAGAATTTTAAAACCTTCTTTGTTCACACAGTAAGTGCACCAGAGGCTGAGTCCCTGGGCTCAGACCCGTTCAGGCTGTAGTTGGTCCAGGGGTTTGGGCGTGAGTGAGGGATTTATTTGTGAGAACTTGCCCTTGTGGATCAGTAACCAGGTGCTCTGCCACCCTGATCCAGCTTCAGGTCTCACATGGGGCCAGCCATTGGTCATTGATCTCATTTAGCCACTCAGCTGGACATGCCAGAGATGAGAACCAACTTACGTACACATTTGTACCTGAGTGTGCCTCATCTGAACCCCTCACACATCTTCACTTAGGTATATTTAGTCTGCATACCTGTCCCCCCCCACATTCCTACCCCTTAATGGACCTGGTCTGAACCTCTACACACTCATCTTCCAGGATACCTGATGTACTCATCTTCCAGGATACCTGATGTGAACACACACACACACACACACACACACACACACACACACACACACCCCCTGTTCCCCTGTATACTTGTTCTGAACCCCACACACCTCTCCCACAGTGTACCTGGTCCAAACCTCACACACACCTATCTCTCAGAATACCTGATATGAATCCATACACATCAGTCCCCCAGTATACCTGATCTGAATCCCACACATCTGTCTACCATTGTACCTGGTATGAACCCACATACTTGTACCCCTGTATACCTGATCTGAACAGCCGCCACCACGCCTATCCTCCAGTGTACCTGGTCTGAACCTCACACACCTGCACCTTGGTGTACATGATCTGCACCCCCCACCCGGACCCTGGTGTACCTGGCCTGTCCCCTCTTTCATTCTAGGCTTGTTTTCTTGCTGTCTGTACCCAGTCCAGACTTGTCAGACCTGCCATTTTCTGTCCTAGCTCTTCATTAACAGCTCAAGCCCACATTGTTGGGGAGTTTGGGGCTGAGCTAGGAATGTGTAGGTGTGCATGAGAGTTCCTGGGCTGAGGCCAGCCACGGTCACCTGACACCCTCTTCCTTATAGCCCAATAGGACATACTACCTGATGGACCCCAGCGGCAATGCCCACAAGTGGTGCAAGAAGATCCAAGAGGTGTGGAGGCACAGGTACCAGAGCCAGCCAGATGCCGCGGTCCAGTGACACGCGCCCCACACGGGCTGCCCGCCACGTCCCAAGGACTCTTCCAGACCACCCACTGGCACCTTCAGGCGAGGTCGGGCACTGGACACCTCACAGCTTTCTTAAGAGAACGAAGACAAACCAAACCAACACCACCAAGAACAAAACCCATGACTTGCAGGGATTCAGGCTGCTTTGTTCGCTGTCTGTGTACCCTCTCCCTGCTGCAGATCCACGTTCTGATTTTCTCAGCACCAGTCAGAACTAGGGCCTCATCTGGTCCTAGTCATCTCTTGGTCCCTGTGGACCCAGGACCAGCCACCCTCTGCTTCCTGTGTGATCATCCCACCTCTCAGGCACTCCTGGCACTGTTGCTTTTATCTGTGCCTCACTCTCTCCACTCCTTCACTCTGGCCCAGCCTGACCATATAGTTGTGGCTAAGGGTCCTCTCATCTTGTGAGTGTGGGGTCTGTGTCACAGGCTGCCCCTCCTTAGTCTGTTGGAAGGTAATGGTGTGTCCCAAGGGGTTAAGCTGGGCTGTGAGGATTCTGGGGACCTAGCAGCACCCTTTCCCTGTGGAGCTGGCACCAGATGCTCTGCCTAGCCTGACCCCCAGCTTCATGTCTCACCTGGGTTTGCCATTTGTCCCATAAACAGTGGGCTTGGCTTAGAAGAAGGCATTACCTGTTGACCATGACCTGACAGGTGAGAACCCTCCCCCTTACATTGTATCCAGCTCTACTGTCCCTGAACCACACACACCTATGTGTGAGTACACCGGGCTCTGAAACCTTCCCATCCCCCAGTACACACACCTGTGCCCAGGGACACAGGGCCTGAAACATCCCACACACCCCAGTACACATATCTGTGCCCGGAGACACCAGGGCCTGAAACCTCCCCATCCTCCAGTATGCGCATTTGTGCCTGGAGACACCAGGCCTGAACATCACACGCCTCACACACACCCCTACACCTAAGCCCTAGGACACGGGGCCTGAACATCACACACCTGTACCTGAGAGTACAGATCTGGCTTTCACTTTAATTTTCTACTTGTTTCCTGCACACTACTGACATACACAGGGTCAGAACCTGTGGCCTATTTATTCTCCTTTCCCTGCTCGAGTGGAGAGAGAGGTCGGGGTGGGGAGCTCTCAGTGACCTAGCGGACTTATTCCCTCCTGTCCCAGGTTGTCCCTAAAGGGCAACCCTTGGCACTACTGTATTCACAGTCAGCTCCCAGACATGGTTCTGAGGTGGAAGTCCCGAAGAGGAAGCCTTTTGTTCTTAGATTTCCCATCATGGTTGGACCAGGGGCTCAGTGGGAGAGGGCTGCACGCCCTAGCCCCCTTTGCCTGCAACAAGCCATCACTGGCCACTGGTGAGGCCTTCACATGACTGTCCTTGGTGGTTCCTCTACCTCCTGGTTTCACCGATAAGCTCTTGCCACCCTGCAGCCTCTTGATGGGATCCGGGGAGGCAGATGGTATCCAGAACTCTAGGTCATTCTCTTTTCCCATCAGTAAGCCCTCCTCACTTGCCTCTTGAAGGCTCTTACTTACTCTTCTGCCCTGTGCTTGCTTATGCCATCTCTTTCCACCCTCTGGGGAGCCATGGCTCTGGCACGCAGCTGCCTTATACTCTCAGCTGCTGTTGTGGGTACCTGTGCATAGACGTGTGTGGGAGAGTCAGGGTGCCTGTGTCCCTGAGTGAGCAGGGAGAGGGCAGGGGCAGGGGAATGAAGCAGCAGCTGGTTGAGAGGATGGCATACTTCTTTCTCCTGGACCAGAGGATGGGGCATGCCTAGTGACAGCCAACACTAGGCTACTCCCCCTCCTGCCATGGCTCTTCGGCTGTTCTGTGGCGTTGATGACCAGACTGCAGAGACAACCCATGGCACCAATCTCCAGGGACTTCTGGGGACTTCTATGCCCTTTCAAAGTTCACACTGGTGTTCTGGTGTCAACCATAGGCCACTCCATGGAGACTGCTGCTGACATTCTGTGTTGGTCCCCCCTCTTGCTCTGCACACAACACCACTGGTGTGCAGACTGGCCTGGGCTCACACCGTTGGGGTGCAGACACCCAGCTGTTTTCATGCATATTGTCAGCATTTTTTCTACATTATCAACAGTTTTTCAAAAAGCTTATATAGTTTCTTTTTTTCCTCATACAGATTATAGAATTTACTGGTTGTAAATTTTATTACAATCTACGTGACCATTTCCTTTCCCCTCTTGAATGCTTAATTTTGGTGTTTTTGTTTTTTATTTCCACAATTTAAATAATGATGTGATGAGTAGCATATAAAGCTTTGATTTTGACTGATCCCTGACCCAATAGCTTCCTAGAAGTGGCGTTTTGGGGAGATGGTATTTTCTCTTCTCCCTCCATCTGATTCTTGGCCACTCAGCGTTCTCTTTAGCTGTGCCCCACAGATTCTGAGTGTGTCTGACAAGTCAGGTGTCCAAAGATTGGAATAAGTTGACCTTTTCTCTTTCTTTGAAATGCTAAAATTGTTTTCCTTGCTGCAGTCCATCTGTGACAGACTTTCCCAGCAGCCAATCTCCTTGTTGCGGGGTGGGTCTAGCTGTGCCTGCATGCTTATCCTCTTCCCTGATGCCTGGCAATCCTCTCAGCATCTTGTGCTTGGTGTCCACAATGGTACTGAATTTACATCTTTGCAGTCAGCAGAGAGAAAATGTGTTGAAGTGGCTTTGCCACATGCTCGGTGGTGGATGTGCTGTCATGACTTAGTTCCCTGAGGCCACTTGGCGTTACAGGAACATTTGAGTCCGCAAGGAGACAATATAGGCAGGTTGGATTTGGCCAAAGTGTCCTTGGCCCCCTGCCAACTTCAAATTGTGGTTTATTTTAGGTTCCAGTGAGCGAGGCAGCCCTTGTCTGTTGTTCAGCTGGTATGATCATCCCCTTTCCTGCCTGTATTGCTGAAGGTTGCTTTCAAGTCCAGACCAATTAGGTTTCATTCTTCATTTCATTTGTGTGTGTGTTTGCGGATGCTGCAGTTTTATTGCTGATGCCATGAGCAGTGTGGTACCAGAGATTCTGTGCCCACTTTAATCTCCTGCTCCACATTGCCTCACCTCTGGCACTCCTGGCCCACAGAGCTGGGCAGTTGCCGGCTGCACTGTTGAGCAGAGTCTGGGGAAGGTACTAGTCTTTTGAGATTCGCCATTTTGTTACCTTGTAGCCCAGACCTAACCTGAACTGGAGGTGGCTCAACTGGGCATGAGCATTGCTTCTCAAGCTGCATACCTGTTGAGGGTCCTGTTATTGGGCTCCTTGGCACAAGATTACAGAACTGTAGGTCAGTCTGCCTGTGGGAAATAGTTGGCAGAGGGTGCTGCTTCAGCCAGGAGCAGTGTGGCCAATTGAGCCAGCCTGCGAGTCTACCTGAATTTCCTCTTCATTCACTTCTTCAGTCTGAAGAAACACGAAGCATGGTGTACAGAGAGCTTTTTACAAATGACAAGTCATTTGTCGATGTGTCATCCACTCCAGGCTAACCCATCTGACCGAACAGTGAGAACATGGGGGTCACTTTTGGTGGTGAAAAGCTTCTGTTATGACCACACATTTGATTGGACTTTGGCAAAATTAAATGGTGGCAGTATTGGGAGCTGCTGTAGCTGTTTCTCAACCACGTAAAATAGGATGAACCAGTAGTGTGCTAGCTGTCTTTCAGGTTGGTGGCAGTCAGGACACGTGTAACATTCTCGACCTGGTCTGTAGCTGTAACTGTGATGTACAGGCAAAGCAAAAATTTAAAAAAAAAAAAAATTACAAAAACAAATAATGCAATGATATTAGGATATACACTTTTGTATTTTATTCTTATATAAGGTTATTTGCTGGCAGTTGTTGGCCTCTAGTTCAGTCTATTATTTAAATTCTAATATATGAATTATTTGGATTGAAGTCATGTTTGGGGCCATGTTGTTGTATGTATTGATGTCGCGCCTTGAATGTGAATAATTATTGTAAACTATATTTTACAAATTTTTTTCTGGCTTTATTATATAAATTTTCTATTTGGTCAATGATCTAATCATATCATAATTTAATGAACCTGGTCCCCCCCTAAGTATTTGTGCTTTACATGTAGTGATTGGATGATGAATTTTCCACGTATGCTCGGTAGTCTTGTAATAAAGGCATGTAGAGGTGTAGTCGTTGGCTGCACTGGCTCGTTTTCTTTTGAGGGGTTGGGGTGGGAGTCAGTATCCGAGCGGCCCAGCTCCGGGAGGCCAACTCACGTCATGGCCTACCCCAGCCAGGAGGGGGCAAGGGTGGCCGCTTTCCGTACCGGAACTTCCGCCTCCGTCGTGACGCCGGGCGGGAGCGTTATGAGGGCGGACCCATGGGCGGGACGGAGTCCGTGTGTGTGTGTGTGTGTGTGTGGGGGGGGGGGGGGAACCGTATTAAAGAGCGGACGCTTCCGGTGGAGGGGCGCTGTGGCGGGGCTTGCTGGGATCATGGCGGAGAATTTCTTCGAGCTGATGCCGCCTGCCCCGGGCGGCCTCGGGGCGGGATTAGGGGGTGGCCTGTGCCGCCGCTGCAGCACGGGGCTCGGCATCTCGGCCCCGCGTCCTGCCAGCGTGTCCAAGTGGGTCCGGCTCAACGTCGGCGGCACCTACTTCCTCACTACCCGGCAGACACTGTGCCGGGACGCGAAGTCTTTCCTGTACCGGTTGTGCCAGGCGGACCCCGACCTGGACTCGGACAAGGTGAGGGCCGCGCGAAGGACTGGGCCTTCCAGCCGCCGCCACGCACACCCCGCCCTGGGCCCCAGGCTCCACTCGACTCGAGCCCCCCGACTCCCTGGCCCGGTGCCCGCCTCCCTTTACGGTCCCTCGCCGCTGATCCCCCGGCCGTGCTCCTCCTCGCCCGCGCTTCGGTGGAGGTTTCTCAGACCCGGGACTCTGCGGAGGGTCCACTTTGTTTACCGTCCTTTCCCCCGAGTGTGTGAACGCCTGCCCTGCTCCGCCCGAGAGCCCCTCTGGCTCTGGAAACAGAAGGGAGCTCTCTGTATCGCTGTACTCCGACGTTTGACCGGGGGGTGGACAGGGCCTTCCTTCCCCGGTGACTTGCATTTAGAGCGTTGCTGCTCCGTGCAGCTCTGAGAGATGCTGGCCCTGCTTGGGTTTTCCCAGGTGAATATTGCTCCTATTTAGGGAGGGCCGGGAGGAGGTCGGTACAAATTAGCTTTCTGAAACAGTTTTCCACTGCTCTCACGAAAAGTTGGAATTTTGAGTTTCACACCTAGTCATTTCATCAAATTTTAACCCACAAATTGTTGGTCTGCTAGGAGAAAGGTCAGCAATTCAAACCCACCAGCCTCAGCAAGACAAGTACGAGATAGTCTGCTTCACTGAAGATTTACAGCCTCGCTCATCATAAAGGACAGTTCCGCTGTGGCCAACATGGCTACTCCACTCTATGAATCCACTTGATAGCAATGGTTTTGGTTTGGTGGAATAACACTAAAAGAACCCTGGTGGCACAGTGGATCAAGCAGTTGGCTGCGAATTAATAAGGCCAGGGGTTCAGACCCACCAGCCAGTCCACTGCAGAAAGAGGCCGTTTCTGTAGTCAAGATCACAGCCTCAGAAACCCAGTGGGCCTCAGCCCTCTAGAGTGGAAAAGAGCACCAGAGGTGTTTGTTCCTATCCCAATTGTAATAGAAACTACCTTGATAGTTGCCTTGGCTTTATAAGAGCCTGAGGTCAAGGAGTAGATCTCTTGTGAGGCAGACGGATTGTAAATCAGCAAAGGGCCTTGCTGGTAGAATCCTTATTACTGATGTTTAGCTTCAGCCCTCTGAAGCCTTCCACAGACTTCCCTGGGCCTCTTCAGCTAAGCTAACTTAACTACACTTGGTTAAATGCCTGGCCAGACCTATGTCTGCAGAGCCCCAGGTTTCCCAGAAAGGATTCAGTGCTGGAGAAGCACTTTCTGTGCTGGAGAAGCCTGGGAGGAACTCTCTTTGGCATGCCATGACCTCCTGGTCAGGGTGTGAGAACTCTCCAGGTTACCACAAAACCATCACGCAAGAAAGGGGTTTGAGCCAGCTGTTCCACTGCTTCTCACACTTGCCTGCCTCTCCCCCCAAAAAATAAATATTTCCCAATTAGAGACAAGCTTTTGTTAGCTGTGGGGCTTCCCTTACTGAGTGGGTTGATGTTCTGCTGTCTTTTCTTTGTACACAGTGGGACATAGTGGTTGTATACTTCTCACCCTTCTGGTTTTGTGCATCATGTTAGTGGTTTTTTTTTTATTTTTAACTTTTCCTTTTTCTCTGCGTGATATGAATTACAGTCCCTAGTTATAACAGCAGTAATCCCATTTCCTCCGCATGTTTCTTATTTCCTTTCACCCCTCTGGTCCATCCCCTCTTACTTGCTCTCTGGGCAAATATTACCCTCAAAAGCTATTAAACGGCTCCTGTCTCTGCAGTCATGTTGATGGGCTCCTGTGCAGCCTAGAAACGATCCGTGACAGAGCCGATTGCTTCAACAGCGAAGTTGATCCATCTCTGTTTTGATGTCTCTTAAGACTACCTTAAAAAAAAAGTTTTTTGTAAATAGGAATCCTTTGAAGGGAGGCACTTAGTCCATCAGCATCTACCTCTGCTAGCCTTCCCCCACCCTCATATCACCCTCCGCCTAATCACATCCGATTCCCGAAGGCCTAACTCAGAGGGTAGCACTGGAAGGTGAGACTGGCTCGGTTTTGGAAGTAGTTGGTGGTAAATAAGGGTTAACTTTAGGCACAGTGCCAGCGGCTCTACCAGCAGGTGTCATGCCCATTCACATTGGGCTTTTCATTTCAGAAGAGAATGTGTAACACCTCTCTCCACAAATACTGTTTCTTGGTGGCAGTGCTCATGGAGGAATGCTGACAGGAGACTCCCTGCCAGGTGGATGCGCTGAGGATGAGTGTGGAGGAGAAGGGGAGTCGGGAGGGAGGGAGGGAGGGATGGGATACCGGTCATTATAGACAGAAGACAAACAGGATGTTGATTCACATGTCAGATCTCCACACCCTGACCTTGTCCTTGGGGTTAATGAGCAGAGGGATACCTGGAACTTCAGAAAGGAGCCCTCTTGGCGCAGTACTTACCTCAAATTTAGTAGTTCGAACCCACTAGCTGCACCTCCGGAGGCAGATGAAGCAGTGTACATGTGTGAACATTTACAGTTTTGGAGATCTTGTGGCATAGTTTACGGAGGGGGAATGGAAGGTTGATTGGATCTGAGGTTTCCAACTGGCCTTTGCCCTTTGTTCAGTGTGCTCCTGAGCTGAAAGAGTCGAGTGTATATTTGAGCCAGGGTAAGTGTTGGGTTGGGGGAGTTCCTAAGGAATGGTAGACTTCCATTCCAGAACCTTCCAGGATCCTGATGGAATTTGCAGCTCACTGAGAAGCGAGCTCAAAGGTGCCGGTGGGGTGAGTGAGAGAGTGCTTTCTGCAGAAGTGGACAGACAGGTTAGAGGGTGGCGAGTGGGTGGAGCCAGGAGCTTGAGCCAAGTTTGTGGAGGTGCACGGGGGTGGGGGGGTGGTCCTTTGACTGGATGGGGCTGGCTAGTTCCTCACCCTCATCTCCTGGCCATGAGGACTGCCTACCTTGCCCTTCTAGGGATGTGGGGGGGGTGGTGAGCCTAGGGCCACCACCTTGCTGCAGGTCTTTCCACACTTCCTCCTGGGACTTCCTCCTTTGGGGGCAGCCCAGGTGTGACCCCACCCAAGCACCTGTGCTAAATGCTTTGTAAACACCTGCTGAGGGATTTGTTCTGTGAATGTTGTTCAGGTTCTTTATAGTTCCCTGACTCCTAAATGCTATGTGAGATTGTGCACCTCTGTCTTCCTGTCAGCCCCTGCAGCATCAAGACTTAAAAATCAACCCAAAGGAATGGCCAGGGAATCCATTCCCACCCCTTGGGACTCTAGGGCAGAGGAGGAACAGCCCACAGGCCTTCAAAGCATGTGTTTACAGAGGTTGCTCTAGTGGTCTAGTGGTAAGGAGTTGTGTTTCTTTCCAAAGGCACATGGTTCAAACCCACCAGTCTATGGGAGAGAGGTGGGAAATGTGCAGTTCACTCTGTTTGAAAACCTTTGGAGGGTCTGTACCCTTGATGATAAAGAACCTTGCCAGTCATTTGCCTTATTTATCTCCTGAAGAGAGGCTCGTGAAGCCACCAATGTTGATGTTAGCAGCCATCAAGGAACCTTCAGGACTTCAAGGGAGACAGGAGAGACAGGCTGAAGAGGGGGTGTGAGGGAGGTGAGAACTTTTGGCTGTACATAAGCAGGACTTGTCCTGTTTTCAGGGTGCAGGGCAATGAGTGACAGGTGAGCTTCTGGGGTGTAGTGGCTCGGATGTTCCCACGTACAGGCCACCAGCTGCCCTGTGCTGCTATCAATTGGTGTGAACAACACTATGGTATTTGGAATATAGGGAGAGGAATTGTGCTGAGACCACTGAAGTGGGGTACTAGTAGAAGGACTGGTTTTGAAGCCGCTTGGTGACAGAAATGGGGACTCCTTAGTGTTGAAACAGCAGGTGATGGTCCAAGTAACTAAACCCTGGGGAGCTCTCCTGTGCTGAGGTGGAATGAGCACTCCATGCCCCTTGGGCACCTATAACAGCTAGAGCCCCAGCTGGGTGCCCACAACATTTGAGTCATTTGACTCTGTACTTGGAGTTCCTGGTTTTGCTTGTGGGTCCTTGGCTTACTCAAGGCAGGAGTGGGGCCTCAGCAGGTCTGTCTCTCAGTGAGACCAGAGGCCACTGTGGCAGGGCTGCTGGGTCTCCACCAGCCCCTGAGGAGTACGCCTCCCCAGTGTCTGGCACAGACACGTGGATGCAGGAGGACGCCTGTGGTCATGTGGCTGGTCTGGAAGGAAGTGCTGTCAGCCTTGCAGCGTTCTTCTTTCTGCACCATGCATGCACCCCACTCTGGTGTGCCGGCATCTGGCAGGTCTTGGTTTAGAGTGATGCAGCAGCCCATCAGACAGAAACGTAATTTTTATTGGACCATGGCACGCACATTCCTGCTTGTGTTCCAGGGAGTGGGGTTGACTTTTCACCCCTGTACCGGGGTAGGAAGCCCAGTGCCAGCACACCTCGTTTTATTGCACTTGGCAGATTTCTTTCTTATTTCACGAATTGAAGGCTTGTGGCCACACTGCATCGAGCAAGCCTTTTGGCACCATTTTTCCAGCAGCACATGCACTGTGTGTCTCTGGGTCACGTTTGCTTGTTCTCACCATTTTGCATACTTTTTCATCATGATATTGCATGCGACATAGATTAACAGACCTACCACCAGAGTCAGTTCAGACTTGTTGCAGCCCTGTGGGAATTTCCAGGGCTGTAGATCTTCATAGGAGGAGACTGCTTATCTTTGTCTCACAGAGCAGCTGGTGAATTTGAACTTCCAACCTGTGACTTAGTAACCCAACACATTATACTCGTCGCCACCAGACTGCAGTGTACAAGGCTCACTCTAGTGCCATCGTCCTTGTTGCTGTGGTCTCCCAGGTTTGCCTGGACATGCTCAATTTGGCCCCATCTGGGACTTGTTCAGGGGACATTGGTGACATAGTGCACAAGGAGTTGGTTGCACTGCTACCACAAAGGCAGTGCCTCTCTGGGGGTTCAAATCTACAGCAACTCCAAGGAGGAAAGATAGCAATCCCTTTTTTATTTCTTTATCTCAGTCTCCTCTTAGGAGATTTATAGCCGTAGAACACTCATTGGAGGGTTGCCATGTGTCCATCCAAGCTTGATAGCTGTTAGTGAGGAATTTGCTTGCCAGCCCAGGCTCAAAGGTCTAGTGGCCTGTGATCAGTCCTGGCGTACAAGCTGCTGACAGCCATGTGGCCAGGTCCCTAGTGCTCTGAGCAGGTACCAGCAGCTGCCCTGCACCATGGTGCACTTCGACTCTCAGCTCTCTCTTGGCTACAGGACTTTGTCCTGCCTGCTACTGGCCTTGGAGGGGGATGCCGAGTCGTGGGAGCAGCCAACCAGTGGCCCTACTTGTTGAGGGGGTTCTTAGGGGCCACAGGATGCCTGGACAGCTCCAACCTGTGGTTGGTGTGCTGTGATGTCAGAAGGATTCCCCTGGTGGCAGAGTTGGACCTGGGACTCAGCCTTCCGCTTAGTCAACTGTGAGATTCAGGACAGGCTACCATACCTCTCTGAGCCTTGATTTCTGCTGTAACATGGGAATTAGGACGGACGGAGCCTCCACCAGTGAGCAGAGACCACCGTAGCGCTTTTTGCTCTCTTTGTAATGAGCCTGAGGGTGTGGTGGTGAAGTGTTCTTTAAAGAGGATGGCCTTAGAAGCCCTAGGGGGAAGTTCTGCTCTGTGGCAGTAGGAGCCAAGTTGGAGGAACATCCCAAAGAAGGGGCCTTGATGTCATAACTGTAAAAACATTCAAAGGTCCGTGGTTTGAACCTGCCAGCTTCACAGAGGGAGAAAGAGGAGGCATTCTGCTTCCATGAGGGTTAATAACTTTAGAAACTGGGGCAGTTCTGCTCTGTCCTCCATATGAGTCAGAATCAACTTGATGGCAGTGGATATGATGGTGGTGTGTGTGTTTTTTAGAAAGAGAAAATATATCCATTAATAAATAATTAAACAATAATTAAGAATTATTACATATAAACCATTTTTTTTTCCTCAGAATTTGTCTCTGTTGACAGTTCTTAAATGTTCTTGGTCACCTCATCTTCTCAGGGCAGGACAGACAGGCTGGTCCTGGGTGAGAAGTCGAGGGAGTCAGCAGCACCTGGTGGGGGCAGTGTTCACTGTGCACAGGAACAGCCGGAGGGGAAGTGTCCAGGGTACGGGGTCGGCCGCAGGGGGTACGGGCATGGCCGGAGGGGAAGCGTCCAAGGTGCGGGCATGGCTGGAGGGGAAGGAAGTGTCCAGGGTGCGAGGACACCGGAGAGGCCATAATTCAGACTACTCACTTTGCTCCATGCATCCCACTTGGTCAGCATTGGACTGGATCTAGACTAAACCAGGCTGAGCAGGGGCAGGGATCCTGGCAGGTGTCAGAAGTGTCTGGGTTTTTAGTAGTGTGGCATCATTTAAAATGACATAGATTTCTAAATCAAACAAACACATTGCCAGCAAGTCGTGCAGACCCACCTTGACCCCGTGGGACAGAGCAGCACTGCCCAGGTCTCCAAGGCTGTGATTGTCACAGGAAGATCATTTTTTTCTCCTTAACACTTGGCCATTGTACCACCAACACTGCTTCTTGCCTTAGTGCTGCTGTGAAGATGCACATCAAACCCAGAGGCATTAGAAGATGGCCTTCCTCTGTGTGGGGCTGTCGACACCCCATTTGGCCTGCCTCTGTCCCCTGGGGAGTCTGGAAGGCAGTGCACTGAGTGACTGGGAGATGCTTTTGGCCTGTTTTTTTCCTGCACCTCACGCTGCCCATGGGGCCTTTGTTCTCTGCAGGATGAAACCGGTGCCTACTTGATAGACAGGGACCCCACCTACTTTGGGCCTGTGCTCAACTACTTGCGACATGGAAAGCTGGTCATCAACAAGGACCTCGCGGAAGAAGGTGAGCAGCCACGGGTACACTGTCTTGTCAAGGCAGGCCTCAGCCTCTGGGACAGGCACCCAGTTCTGAGGCCACCTGCCTCATATTTGCACTGCAGCCACATGCTTCAGCTGCAGGCCTTCATTCTCAGAGGATTAGGGGGGCAGCTGAGGGCCACTTTGCTGCTCTGGGAAGCCAGTAGTGGGGGCTCTAAGGCCCCGGGTGCTAAGGTGTGGCCCTGTGCTGGGTCCTCCCTGGCCACTCCTCCCCTGGGAGAACCTGTCTGCTGCAGAATCGTACTGGCTGCATGTCCCCCTGAGACCCTCGGTCCTCAATCAGTGCCTGTTCATCCCCCACCTCACCTCCAGGGGACCAGAGACACCCTCATGAGGTCCACCTAGGGTGACTGTTCCCTTCTCATCCAGGAGTGCTGGAAGAAGCTGAATTTTACAATATCACCTCACTAATAAAACTCGTCAAGGACAAAATCCGAGAACGAGACAGTAAAACATCACAGGTGAGTGAGTGACTCGTGCTAGGAGCTTCCAGGTTGAGGCTGGTGGGTGGGAGGGATGGCCTCCTCCAGAGAGGCTCTGGGTCAGCTGGCCCCTCCTCCTCCTCCTCCACAGTCCTCTGTGTCTACCCAGCAGCCCACCAAGGTTACTCCCACCTGGGGGACTAGGGTTGGACACTGCTGTCACCAGGCTGGCATGAAAAGGCCGCGCTGATGAGGCCTCTTTGGAGCCCACAGAACCATTCTGGACTGGTTCTGCCCTTAGGGCCCCACCCTGTAGACATCAAAGCAGGAGGGATGTGGGGGGAAAAGACAGCCCAGGAGGAGCTGGGGTGCAGGAATGCTGGACTTTTCAGTGTAGGGAGCAGCGTGTGGGAGGTGCAGCAAGTGAAAAGGTCTGTCTGGGGAAGGCCCAGGCTCGGCCATTTCAGCAGCTGGGCAAGAGTAGGAGAAAACAGGCCCTGTGTCAGAGTGGCCTTTGTTGGAACGATGAGGACCTGGATATTCAATGGACAGGATAGAACGTAGTTGGCGCTCTTCATGCACCCTGCACCCTAGACTCCCTCCTGTCCATTGCTGCATGGCCAGCCGGCACCTGAGGGTCAGCTCTCAGGGGTCCCACACCCCAAACCAGCCATGCCAGCGCCTGGGAGGCTGGTGCCATTTGAAGCAGGTTGTGCTAGCACTTTCCATGAGGCTGATGCCAGGTCTGAGCACTGCTTGCCCCAGGCCAGCTCTTCGTCTCAGCTGAGAGACCCCTCCTCTGGAAGGAGGCTGCTGAGTTAATGTCAGGCTGCTCAAGGTTCCTGGGAGGGTCAGTCCACTTCAAACCTTTCCCGTTTCACCTCCCATAGTAATCTGTCTTCTGGGGAGCCCAGCAGGGCCAGAGCCTTTAAGAGTCTCAGACACTTAAAGTTACGGGTTAGTGGCCAGAAAGGATGGACAAGAGACTGGTGCCCACATGGCCTGTGGCCTTCTGGCCCTCGCCCTACCTCTGGCCGTGTGGGTGGATGCTCCCCAGAGCAGACGTCAGGAAAGGGTGTGTCCTGCCTTGAGACTTGGCACTCTGGTCACCACAGGCCACCTGTGGTCACTTGTTACCCTTCTCATGGCTGGGGAGACCTCCATCCCTATCTGCACAATAGACTGACAGGCCCTTCCTCACAGGCAGTGTTGAGACTCCTGGTTGAGGGCCCCTGGTCAGGCCATCTCTTGTGGCTATACCCGATACTGTGCATGAAACACAGGCAGGCGCCCTCCTGCGTCTGTTCCAGCCACAGGTGTGCTGGTGTTCCAGGAACATGACTCATTCTGTTTGGGGATGTAGAAACGACAATGTTTTCCCAGGCTTGTGCGGAGGCAGTGACAGCAGCTGTGCTGGGCTATTTGTTTTGCATTTACGGATGCATTCAGGTAACCTTGAGCCTTTAGATCTAAGCCTGGACAGGGGAGGTGTGTATGTCCAGCTCTGGGCCCTATATGTGAGGCTGTCTCCAGGAGCGTGTGCCTGGGTCAGGGGAGATGTGTGTGTCCAACTCTGGGCCCTGAATGCAGGGCTGTCTCCAGCACCAGGGTGGGTGGGGTATGGGCGGGAGCAGGGTTCAGCTGATTCGGCCGTCCTCCTGCCCGCAGGTGCCGGTGAAGCATGTGTACCGTGTGCTCCAGTGCCAGGAGGAGGAGCTGACCCAGATGGTGTCCACCATGTCTGACGGCTGGAAGTTTGAGCAGGTGAGGAGCACCCTGTGGGTCACCTGCATGTTTCATATTGGGACACCTGGTCACAGATGGACAGATGGCCCCACGGTCAGCCCCTCTGTTCCTTCATGTCTCACAGCAGTCCTAGCCACATTGGCACAGTCCTTGTTCCTGGTTGTGGACCTTCCAGGAAGTGTGAAAGCAAAATAAAGGAAATGGGGATATGGCAAACCCACACATTACCTCCCCCCCTTGTCTGGCACCTGTCCTTTTCTCCAACCCTTCCCTGTGGGCGGCCCCAGGTGCCTGCCCACCTAACACACACACAGAGAGCGAGTGAGCTCGCTGCTTGTTCATTTGTTAAGACAGCCCTGCTAGCTCCCCTCACCTGTCCAATCGCTTTCTCTGGGCTTACTTTGTGTTTTCAGAGACTTCTGCCCTTGGTGAGGTTTGGTGGGAGTGGAAGGACTGACTTGCTGGCCCCTAGCCCTGATGTGGTTGGTGCCAGGCTGATATTTCCTTGACCTACAGAGTTGAGTGTGTCCAGGGTTACTATAGAGGACCATAGACTGGGATGTGGGGAAGATAACATCCCACACCTTCCTCTCCAACTCAGGCAGCTCTGTCCTTGCTCTTTGCCTACCTCTATCTGCCACTAGCCTGAGCCCACAGGCCTGAGGTCTGCCCCTTGTCATTGAAGGTGCAGGGCCTGCCTCCCTCACAATGGCATACCTACCCTACAAGGGGCCCCTCCCTACCCCAAGAGTTCACACGTGGCCTGGCAGCATGTTTGTTCCTGTACGTGTGCTCATATGTGCATGCCAGTGTGTGTGTGTTTACTTGTATATGCATGGTTAAGTGCACAGAGACTTGTAGGTAGAGCCTTCCATCACTTACCACTGTGTGAGCGTGGGCCCAGGGAGGGAGGACTTTGCGCACAGGACACCGGTGGGCTGTTTGGGGCCCAGGGTGGGTCATGCAGGCTGTTTTTTGCCTTCTAGCTCGTCAGCATCGGCTCCTCTTATAACTATGGGAATGAGGACCAGGCTGAGTTCCTCTGTGTTGTCTCCAAGGAGCTACACAACACGCCGTACGGCACAGCCAGCGAGCCCAGCGAGAAGGCCAAGGTGGGTTTGGTAACCATGCTCTTCCAAGGTGTCCCTGGGTAGGGGCCATTGGTAGGAGGGGCCTGAGGTTACCTTCTCTGTTCTCACTGGGCTCGCCCAGAGTGACCATTCCACCTCATAGGGAGCACTTGTCTCAGAGTCTGTGACCTACAGGCCCTGGGGTGGGGTGAGAGGGTGGTTGTACCTGGCCAGCATGCCTGCAGGCACCTGTGAGAGCTGAACAGGCCTCTCCTCATCCCCTGCCCCGGTTCTCTTTCAGATCCTGCAGGAGCGGGGCTCCAGGATGTGAAGGGCAGTATTGATGCTGATAAAATGTTTTGCTTCCCTGGATCCAGTGGATGACATGCTGCAGGCCTGCCATTCGGAGATTCCCACCTGGGACAGTTGTCTCTGGCAATCAGTCTGAGGGTGGTGAGACTGGCTGATATCAGGGCGCCAGGACCTGCCGGATGCTAATGACCCGCTGCGAGGGACTCTTGTTTTTCTTTTTTAAATCACTGAATATCATTTAAAGGACAATGTTCTTGGTGCTACATAAATAGTCCCTGACAAGCAGCTGGCAGCCTGCCCACTGTGGATGTGGAGACCAGTAGGCCTTCCTCTTCAGCGGCCGGCCTTCCTCACGCTGCAAGCCTGGGGCCAGGCTCCGACTGAGAGCTGTGCGTCCTTCATCCCCAGGCAGGTGGACAGCCATCCGTTTTCCTTAGAGAAATGCCTCTAAGTGTTGGGTCGGGGACAGCCAAGGCCGACCTCACCCCATAAACCGGCTGATGTCACTTGGCGGCGTCTGTGGGTGCCTTTGTTGTGCCCGAGGTGGTGTCGGGCGGGGAGGGGTGCCCATGCTGGGCTCCTCAGAAAATCCTGGGTGTTTACACACACCACACTTGTTTCTTTCTCACCTGCCCCTCGTCCCCTTCGTTTAACTATGCAGTTCTCTCGTGTCCCCAGTAGCCGCAGTCCACATGCTCCCCAAAGGGATGTGCTGGGGGTGAGTGGACCCTGGCCTCGCACCTCCCTGGCGGCTGTGCACTTGTAGGTCAGTGACGCTGACACCCTGTAGTCTCAAGAGCTGGAATCTTCTTGTCCCTACTCTCTTTCTCCTTTGCCAGTGACCTGGTTACAAGTTCTCCAGCACCTAGGACTTAACCTCCCTTTTGTAAAGTCTGTTTTATGTTGTCACATGCTGGGCTGAAGCATTTATATGGAATCTTTCTATGAGACAAATGGGCCCCAAGAGGGAGGTGGAAGCCTTCCTTGAAGGGTGGCCCTGGGCTTAGTGACTCTGACTGAGCTAGGCTTGTGGTGTTTTGTTTTTTGTTTTGTTTTGGGGTTTGTTTGATTTTATTTTGGGTTTTTTTGGTGTTTTTTTTGTTGTTGTTGTTGTTTTTAATTTAAAGACAAAGATTTACCGACTAAAGTTTAATCCGAGGGGATATTTATACTTTTATACTTTTGTAGGTCTCCGTATTTTATCGCTGACAGTTTAATGCCTAAGTTTTCCCCCCTGAAATTAGCAAATAAAATTGTGTATTTATGAATGAGCAAAGCACCTAGTAGCATCTTAAACCACACAAACCTAGAGGCCTGCGTCACAGGACCTGGTCACCCGCCCTGGACTTGCCCAGCTACTGCTTTTTGCCTGGTGGGTTGGCAGCCCCCGTTCAGCCATCAGCCAGCCAGCCGTGGGTCTGGTGCCCCTCAGGTTTCATGGTTAGCATCACAGCCCATTGTGGGATAAGCAGTGACTTCTCAGCTGAAACCTGGAGTTCCCAGTGTCCACCAGTCTGGCCTGGTCAGCCGCTTGGTCTCCCCCTAGTGGCTGTTCTGCACAGGTGCTTAAACTCAGCTTGGTCCCTGTCCTTAAAGCACTGTGGCTTCAGAGGGCTCATGATGTAAATGATGTAGTTGGTCCCCTGGTCCTGGCACCCCAGCCTGGTGTGTGCAGACTACTTTGAGCTTGGAGTCCTGGCCCTCTGAGGGCTAAATTCTTTTGGGGTCAGGAGTTGATTTCCTGTCACTGCAGACACAACCTGCACACCTCAGGCCACACATCCAGAGTTGTGTCCTCAGTTGCTGGGTCCACTACACAGCACGGGCACCCTACCCCCATACCAGGGTCCTTGAGCTCTCAGCCCAGCTGGCTTGCCTTGGGAGGGACCTGGGACTTTCTGGGTGCTGGCACCAAGCTGCCACAACCTCATGCCAGGGACATTTCAAAAGTACCTGGGGCCAGCACTGCCCACCCCTGCTTCCTACTCTGTCTTTCCCCAGTGCTGGAGCTCCAGCAGACCTGGAGAAGGCTGTGTTTACACAGCCCAAGGGGTAACTGTCTGACCTGAGGTGGTGAGTGGGAGGCAGGGCTGGTTTTGGGACCATTTCCCAATAGATGTCTGTCCAGGGCATGGGCTCTGGTGAGCTTCAGTGATGGTCAGTGGGTGGTGGCTCACACTGGTCACTGTCTTGGACTCACCTGGAGGCAGGCACTGAGGAACCAAAAATTGGGTGTGCACCCTCTATTGGGATCTGTAAGCCTGGCCACCGTCCCAGTTTGTGGTGGATAGACCCAGTTCTCTCTCAGCTCTAGCAAGCAAGCTTTACCCCCTACCTGGGGTCTAAGGCTTCAAGATTGGGGCCTGGGCCAGCTGACCAGATGGCCTAGAGCTGTCCATTGGGGCAGCCCTGCAGCACTCGGCTGTCCTCTACCTCTGGCTGTGGTACACCTGCCTCTCCAAGGCACAGCCAGTGGATCTCCAGGGCTGATGATGTGTTGTTTTTTTGTTTGTTTGTTTTTTTTGTTTTTAAACAGCCTGGTCAGGGAAGGCCAATGCAGGACCTGTGCACCTTCTCAGTGCTTCCCATCTCAGTAGAGGGGATGTATGTGGAGAGTGCTTGTTTGTCCCACTATCTCCCCAAGGGCCAGGCCCAGGCCCACAGTAGGGTGCTTGCTAAGTGGTTGTTTCCCTAAATAGCAGGTGCTGGCCCCTCCCAGCACTGTGGCAGGCAGCTGTGCCCTGTGCATGGGGGGTGTGCACAGCTGTGTACTCTGACTTGTACGTGTTAGCGTGTGTGCTCATGGATGTGTATTTCTATGCATGTATATACTGGTGAGGGTGTATGCAAGTGGCGTCCACATGTGGTGCTGTGTTTCGAACCCGATGTTCTTTGAGCAAATGATATACCCAGAGTATACAGAATGTCAGAGCTGGGGACCTGTTTGCGGCGGGGTAGGGGTGAGGACAACTCTGTAACAGGGGTGCTGAGTAATCCGGGGAGTGGGCATCGGGGCGAACCTGGCTGGCTGCAGACATCTTGTTAGAGCCCTCCCTAGCGGCTGAGACATTCTATCAGCGGGATCGGCTGGAGTCCTGCATGGGGGTGAGGGTGAGGCCATACCTCGGGAGGGGTCTGACACAGGTGCCGCAACAGACACCACAGCCTGCCTCCCACCCTCTTCTCACCCGGGTCCCTCCATCCCAGCCGTCGCCGGACCAGGCCCTCAGCCCTTGCCCTCTTGCTTAATAGAATGCGGTTGGAGGTTTATTGAAGAGTGAACATAAATAAAAATTGGGGACACCAAAGGCGGGCGGATCGGAGAACTATTTACAAATGTACAAAGAGCGCTGGGCTTAGCGGTGCTGCGAGACTCAGAGCGCTCCAAGTAGGGCGACGAGGCCCACGAGGCCCGCGTGCGCGCCCAGCCCCTGCGCCGCGCTGTCCCCTCGGCGGCTGGCGGCCCTGCGGGCCTCGCTTCTGGCTCCCTCTGGTGCCTACAGCTTGGAACTGCAGCTCCGGGATGATGCGGTGGATCCAGTCGTAGTGGGCAGTGACCCGGATGTAGACGCCAGGACGGTTCCGACGGGCACAGCCTTCACCCCAGCTGATCACTCCTGCCTGTATCCACAAGTGGTCTACGAGGCACACCAAAGGGCCCCCCGAGTCTCCCTGCGAGGGAAGAAGCAGCCACAGTTAGTATCCAAGGGGACCTGAGAGGCAGCCCCTGTAGGTGCACACTTGTGTAGCAGCATGCGCGCGCGCCCACTCACATATCCATGCATGTGTGTGCATACACACCGAACACACACCCAGACTCGCTGTGCTTCCGTCCTCTGTACCTTGTCTTCTCCTTGGTATGTCTCTTTCCCTCTGAAGTCCACTCCTGTCCAGTCCCCACCCCTTGTCAGTCCTTCCCTCTCGCCTAGGGCACCTGTTTCTGAAGCATCCTGCCCGACTCATCTGTGTGTGTTAAAAATGCAGGCCCCTGGGCACTTCTCTAGACACATTGCCTCTGGCTCTCCTGTAGTGGGTCTAGGAATCTGCTGCTGCTTTTCTTCTTCTTTTTTTTTTTAATCTGCTTTTTTTCAGTCAACACCCTTAAAATCTGGACCTGAACTTGCTCCCTGGAGATCACCTAATTCCCAAACTCTTACAAACTATAAAGTGAAAGTAATAGCAGAAAAACACATTCAGTACAATCAACGTTACAAGACTGAAAGGGCAGCTGTTGCCAAAAAATAAAGCTCAGAAGGGGAAGGAAAAGATAAATAGAAATGGGGTACCCTCGAAGAGTTGCTACATTGAGGGATTGCAACCAAATTAATGAAATAAGAAAATGATTTGCTGTTTAGACTTTCACCCAAGCCACACTGCAATATAAACAGATGTTCACGCACAAATGGGTCTGAGAAGTCCCTTTAAAGTGGCACCTCAACCAGCTGGACCTGGCAAGCAGGCAGGCTGAGCCCCTCCGATGCCCAGCGCCCACCTTGCAGGCATCCTTCTTGCCCTCGGCGAAGCCAGCACACAGCATGTCATCCTTGATGGTTTGGGGCTGGAATTCTGAGTCTGTGTCTTTGCTGTAGAGTCGGTTGCACCTCGGTGTGTCGATGATGGGGACAGCCAACTTCTGTAGTATTCTCGGGTTGGGCAAGCGGTCTGGGGAGAGGGGATTACTGTCGCTGAGAAGACAGTCCAGTGTAGGACCCTCCCCTGACACTCCCCACCTGTTGGTTGGCTTTTGACCTCCTCTAGCTCAGGGCTTCAAGACCAAGCTCTGTCTCCTTTCTGATACTGTTGTTGCTTTCTGTACCTTGAGTCAGAACTGACTCATATCTGACCCTCCAGGGGTTTTTTAGAAGCTGTTGTATATCGCACAGGAGATTGTCCATCTTTCTCCCGTGGAGCATCTGGTGGATTTGAACCACATGCCTTTGGGTTGGCAGTGCAACTCCTCACCACTAAACCTAGGCTTTTTCTTTCTCCTCCCTTTCTTCCCTTCATGGCTCCTACTTTTGGACCAGCAGCCCCTTTCCCATCAGTTCACCCATTTCAGTTGAGATCATCATATCAGCAGAAGAAAACACACACACACACACACACACACACACACACACACACACACACACCCAACATTGGTTCAGAGTGATTCCCAAGCTGCCTATGACTTTTCCTAAGCATTTCACTCCTGGCCCTGCTTTAGTACCTTGCTCGCTGGGACTGCCCCAACCAGTCACTGAGCAGTTCATGCCGGCCTTGAAGATGACAGAGGGGTCAGGCATGCATACAGGGAGGATGTGGTTGGTGAAGGTCACTGGCTCCTGCATTTCCACCAAGGCCACGTCAGCGCTGGAGGCCATGCCCTGATATAGAGGGTTACTCTCTACGTGCTTCACCTGGGCATATACAGCATGTGGCCCTGGATTCACCAGCTGCAGAGCCCCCAGCAGGACACGGTACAGGGACATTTCTGAGGTACTGGTGGGACAGAGCAGAGAGTTGGTGAGGCAGCCCTTTTGGGGACCTGGGAGAGGAGGTCAGAGATGTCATATGCAGAAAGGCGATGGGGAGGGCCAAGGGCAACTCTTTGCAGCAATGAGGAGCTGTGGACACTGTAATGTGGGGCTGCCTTAACCTCCAGCTGCATGTAACCTGCGTGCTCTGCGTGACTCAGTTTCCTTGTCTTTCGAAGGGGGATAGAAAGAATCACCCACTTGGAGGGTTGAAGGACGTGGTCTGGCTCATGCCCCAGCTCCAGGTCACCACTCCAGCTGTGCTCATGGGTAAACTGAGCTAAGCGACCTGGGAACAGTCCAACTTGCTGTCCCTGAGCCTGAGGCTCTTGGGTTATGATGTGGGCTTGAAACCCCGCAAACCCAGAGTGTGGAGTCTAAAGTCAGATAGGGTACCCCCATCCTTTGCTCAGGAATCACAGAGCTGAATTTAAATGAGGTGGGAAAGAGAGGGATGTGTCCCCAGGATTTGGGCTCAAACATAACCTGTGTCTCAAACAAAAAGGAAAAATACTGAATTTGAAATGTTAGGGAGTGTGGAGATAGGTCAAGTAGAGGCCTCGTAGAAGTCTCCCTCTTGGGGACTTTTCGGAGACATTGCCCCAGGTGACCAGCAGTGGGGGAGTGGAGTTACCCAAGCTGACTCTGGGCTGGGACCCCCTAGCACTGGCCTTCAAAGAGCTGCTTGCCAGAAAGGCGGATGAAGGCTCCATGAGGCTTTCACTGCACTGGACAGGGTCTGGGGCATTTTGCCAGGGAGGGGCGGGGCACAGGGCGCTGTCCGCGGTGCTGACCGACTCACTTGGAGAAGCAATGTGCGGCCGTGAGCACCCAGCGCGCGCTGATGAGGCTGCCCCCGCAGAAGTGGCTTCCGTTCCGCTGGATGCTGACCTGCCACGGCCACTCGCGCTCCTGCGCGTCCTCCCCGCCCACCATCCGGTTGAGCATTCGTGGGCGGCCGCAGGCTGGGGGGACACACTGACAGCTCCACTTATTCCGATACTCCCATCTTTAAACCCTTCCCCCACAGCTCCCAGCTTATATGCATGCAGATGCACATGTGTGAGGGTGCATATGTGTGTGCCTTTGTTCATATGCATGTGTGTGAGTATATGTATTTATGTATGTGCTCACGTGTAGAGCTGTGAGTGAATTTGTGCACATGTGAGTACTGAGAGTAGAGATGGTGGCTTCCCTCTGCTACCAGAGTCAGAAGACCTCCGTGGATCCTTCCTAACCTACAGCGCAGTTCACAGACAAACTGGCCTGTGCCCACACCTAATCCCATCCCCCCTCTTCCCCACCTACCACCCCAGGGGAGTTTTGCATGCTTACCTCTTGATGCCTTGGTCCTCTGAGTCCCTGGAAGAAATAATAATAATGATGATCATAATAATGATGTTAATAATAATAATAATTAATAATAATAATATAGATAAAGGAATGATTAGCCACGTTGCAGAGCCAGAGCCTACTCCTTTGACCAGCTTGGCTACTCCCCTCCCAACCAGCCACCTCATAGCAAGGTCCATTCAGTCCCAGGTCTAGCTCTCTGGCATGTTCCCAGGTCCCAGCTTGTTGCCAGAGCTTGTCTACCAGGCTAGTCTGGCTCTTTGCCACACAGAAGCCAGTTAGGGGATGGCAGCCCCTCTCATCCCATTCTTACTTATTTGGATGGCCTGAGGCAGAGCTCTGACCTCTGCTGCCAAGAACAGCTCAGAGCCAGCGCTGAGAACATGTCCCCTGGTGGGAGGAGGGGTGCTGCTGGTGCAGTCACTGTTAAAGCACATTGCTAACTGCAAAGTCAGAGGTTCAAACCCACCAGCTATGCTGGAAGAAAAATCTAGGCGGTCTGCTTTTTAAAAAGTTTACCTCCTTGGAGAGACCCTTGGGGCAGCTGGACTCTGTCCTGCATGGCCACCATGAGTCTCAGTGGAATCGACACTACAGCAGTGGGCATGTTTTTGGGTTTCTGCATGGTCCTAAACCCACAGTTCTCTTTCACCCAGAAGTCATCATATACCTCCTCCAGTAAGGTGTTCTTCAGTGCTGACCCCTCTCACATGCCCTGGTGATCATGGTGCCCCTGCTCCTGCCTACTCAGGAAGAGTCAGGGACAAGGCAGAAGGCAGAGAGGCTATGATGGAAGAACCAGAAATGGTGTCTGTACTTCGAACACTGGATCAGGGCCTGTCACCTGGCTCAGACCTCAGCCAGGGCAGACTATTCATACTACCCAGAGGCATTCCACTAGACAGGCCCCTCCATCCACTGCCTGAATGTCCAGTCCACTGGGACAGAGATGGACAGAGTTGGAGTGGGTCTTGAGTATCCCCTGCCCACCTCAGTCCAGAACTTCCATTGATGCCCACTCAGTTCCTTCCAGGCCCCTGAATGGGGGCCATGTCTGTGTTCTTTGATTGGAAAAGAAAGCCAGTCAGAGAGGCCTTGCGGACAGGAAGCAGCTGTTGCAGCCACACCTCTCTGAGGGGTCAGGAGACCCCAACGGTTTTTGCAGAACCCTGTTTCTTCCTGATAGGCTCCCAGTACTAGTGATCCATCTCCTAGGACAGTGGTGGAGAGATGAAATGCCAGGGTTAGAGGAAGGGAGCCATGAGGTGAAGCAGCAGTGAGAAAGATGGGGGGCAGCTGTGACAGCTGGGGCAAGACAGGAGATGGACACTGGACAAGGGCAGGGACTGGGTGCCTTCCAAAGTAAGGGTGCCAAGCAGAAGATGGTATCATAAACTGAATTGCATTCCCCTCCCCCTCAAAATAATCTGTGTCTGCTTGGTGGCAACAAATTGGACTTACAGCTTGGCTTAGCAGTTGTGTATTGAAGACATTTGATGGTTACATAGTGGTCAGTCAATCAGCCGTAAGGGGTTTAGGGTGGGCTGTAATGTCCTTCCTCAGGTCAAGGCTGGGATTCAGGAAGAAGTGTTGCCTGATTCACCTTTTATCTTAAGATGTTAAAGGAGAGAAAAGTGAGCAGAGAAGGAAGATACCACCACCAAGACAGAAGAGCTGGGAGTGGGACATGTACTCTGGACCAGGGTTCCAGTGCTGAGACCCTCCCAGATGTAGTCATGATGATGTCAAGACATGTGGATGTCTCCAAGTAACAGCAAACCCACAGATGCTGAAAGGAGACAAAGATCTCCCAGAGCCAACAGAGAGAAGAAGCCGTCCCTTAGCGCGGGTGCCCTGAATTTAGACTTCAGTGAGTGAACTGATTGAACTCCATTAAAGACCTCCTTGTCACAGTAATACTAGAGAACTAAGATAGGTGGCGCTTGAAGTCACCCTGGGCAGCCTGCTCTTTCAACCGTTTGACAAAAAGGCAAGTAGCTCTGGGGGTTATTCCCATCAGAACCCCATGCTGTAGTATAGGATTAATTAGCTGCCGGTACTAACTCCTGCACTGCTAACCACTGAAGCTCCTGGGGAGAAAGTCAAACCCATCTACTCCCACAGAGAATTACAGCCTTGGAAGCCTGCGAGGTTGTTCTGCTCTGCGCTTCAGGGTCACCGTAGGTCGAAACTGACTGAAACCCTGTGAGGCAAACTCTGCAAGGCAGTTCTGCTCTGCCTTCTGTAAATTGGAGTTGACTGAGCAGCTGTGGATTGGGTGATTCCTGACATTCCCTGGCTCTTCCTGCCTATGCAAAGATGCTTGGATTCCAGCAAATCACACAGGAGATTACCCATCCTTCTCACATAGGGAGAAGTTGGTGAATTTGAATTTGAATTTGGGATTGCAGCAATTTACCACTAGGCCACCAGAGCTCCCTTGGCGTCACTAAGGCATTTTAAGGGCTTTATCTCTTTCTGAAACTTAGCAAGAGTCTCCTCTGAATTAGTCTTGCTTGAGGTAGCAGATCATCCTGAACTGTCCTCACTCACTCCCAGAATCAAGTCTGAACCCCGAAGGCCAAGGCTTTTTCTGAGGCTCCTTCAGCTTAGGCCACCCCTTCATCTGTTGTTGCCTCTCAGCTGAGCTCTCCAGTTCTGTGAGTTGGCTAGGACAACATCCTTGCCTGCATAACCCTCTCCAAAGATCTACAAGGCCAAATCCTATTTTTCTGACCAAAGCTTAATGAAACGCCCTTCACCTCCTCCAGGAAGCCTTTCTGCCCATCTGAGCAATTTCCCTCCCTCTTGTCTGCCCACTTCAGCTTAGAGCTGAAAGCCCCCTCTGACCTCCTCTCCCCCCACAGGCTCAGTGGTCTGTGGAGACACAGCAGAACTTGAGGTCTGAGCTGAGCTAAAGGGTCACTCAGGAGGCAGGAGTAGCTATAGAGGCCAGGGTGACCAGGGAGGACTGGCGTTGTGGACAGAGTGGGGGTGGGCGCAGATGGGACAGTCAGCATGTCAGGGCTGTTGCCTTGGCTGGGATGTGGCTGGACAAGGGGGACAGGAGGGACCTGGGTCTCCAGCAAAGGAGTCAGAGACGTGTAGGGGCGTTGGCCAGCAGTGGGTTGGGGTGCGGTGGCATTGGAGCCTTCTCTCTCTCAGTGACCTGGCTTGGCCAGCCCCGCCGGAACCTTTAGAGATATACACCTGGTGGAACCAGACTGGATCCAGCATGTTGTTGTTCCCATGTCAAGAGGGGCAGAGCCAGGGAGCACCCAGGCAGGTGCCACCCAGCGCTCTCCTTCCACGGGAACGAGGAAGCCTGGAGCCTGGCAGAGGTGACTTGAGGACAGGGAAGTGTGCTGGTGGCCAGGCTGGCCAGGCTGGCCCAGGAATGTGGGAGAGTTTCTCTACAGAGTGGCCCACCCTCAGGAAAGGCACTTGCTGACTCTGACCCTGTTCCCCAAGAGGGGACAACGGGGCCTTGCTGCAGTTGCCTCTCTGTTCCTCTCGGGGTGGGGGTGGGGGGCTCTGCAGTCTGTGTCTGTACTTCTCTCTGCTGAGCCGTCTTGACCAGCCCCCTGGGACTTTGATAATCAGCAAGTGACCCCAGCCGGGCCATGTCCCCCACTCCAAATGACAGGGTCCAGGGACTTGAGTTCATATCATGACCAAGTGATCAGAGCACCTGAGAGAGGAGGAGTTTTGGAGAAATAGAGAAGGAAAGCAAGGAAGCAGGAGATGCCCTGAGCTTCAGGATGTGGGGGGGGGGGGTGTGGGAAGCCCAAGCCTCCTCTGCAGCCTGGCTCTCCCTTCTTGCCATCTCAGGCACTTCTACTGGGGAGAAGAAAGGGAGGGTGGCCAGAGGACACCAGGGAGATAGCACCGGGACTTACCCAGGCAGAGAAGCAGGAGGAGCAGAGCCACAGGCGGAGTCCTCATGTTCTTGGCTCTGGTAGGCGTGCAGGTCAGGACAGCGGGCCAGTGGCTGGGGAGCATGAGCTGGCTGCAAGGCTCCATGAAGGGGGTTTTATACAAGCTGTGGTGAGTGTGAGCTCAGCTATGCCACTCAACCTGTCAGCCCAGCTGGCCCAGCTGAAGGAGGTGCCTGAGCCCTGGCTCCCGTGACCTGGTCCTGAACCCCCTGAACCCTTTGAGGCCCTGGAGTGTGCATGTGCTGCATCTTCTGGATGCTACTGTCTTCAGCTTCCAAGAACTGACCACCAGGACACGTCAGGGCCTCCTGGACCAACCACATCAGGGACCCTTCCCACTTGATTCATCATTTACTGAGCATTGGAAGAGCAAGTGTCAGTGGAAGGCCGAGCTCAGGTGACCCACTGGCAGGGCAGAGGTAGAGCATCGAGGTGGCTTGTGATTGTGGAGAAAGAAGAGACAGGGAGGCCACCATTCCAGACATTTTCATTGATGATTTTTTACCAGAATCCTGATCAAAAGAGGGAGGATGCAGAACAGAATCTCAGATTTTCGTAGAATGAATCCAGACTGTCTGGAGCCATGGAAGGTGAATGAACATCGGAAACTACTGACCCCAAGACCATCTTTAAACCCTTAATAAAAAACGTACCCTGAAGTCATCTAAAAAGCAAGCAGTAGTTTAGCTTGTCTAGTAAAACAGGTCTGCTTTGAGTATCATAGGAGTTTTGGTGGCACAGTGTGTCACATGTTGACTCTTAACTAAGAAGTCAGGCATTCAAAGCCACCAGCCTCTCCACAGGAGGAAGATGAGTGGTCTCCTTTCACCAAGATTCATAGACTAGAAAACCCAGTATAGGGCTGCCACAAGTCAGAACTGACTTGACAGTGGTAGGGCTGAGCAATAAATTCTTTGAAGAACCATCAATGAGCTGTGGTGTTGGAGAAGAGTGTTGTATTTTCCATGGATGGCCAAAAGAACAAACAGCTATGTCTTGGAAAAAGAATATCCAGACAGCTCTTTGGAGGCAAAGATGGTGAAGAATTGTCTCATATTTTGGGCATGTTGCTAGGAGAGGCTATTCCTTGGAGAAAGACATCACGCTTGGGAAGATGGAGGGTCAGTGGGAAAGAGGAAGACCTCCAACCCACCAGCTCACTCCTTGTGAAAAGTGCCCAACCTTGAAAACCTGTGGTTGCAAGTCTATGCCTTTAGGTCATTATGAATCAGAATCAACTAGATGGCAATAGGTTTGGTCTTGGGTTTTTAAAATATGGCATCTAATTGACAAGGGCAGTTAGCAAGATTGGATGGGAGGGCAGTGAGTTGATGTTAAAGAGGGAAGAATCATTGGAAAAGGAGGGTGAGATTGGTAGCACAATTAAAAGGATGACATCAATTTTCTTCAGTCGGGCATAGAGAAGCTGCAGAACTGGGTTGTTTTCCTGATTCCACTCTCACTCCTGGTGACCTCGTGAACAAGGGACTGTTTGTGGATTAGACCTCCGCAAAAAAAGGTTTGTAGGGGGCACGGAGAGAGCGCTGATTTTTAAAATTGATTACCTGGCCATTCCTCCGAGTCTATTTTAGATTTGGAAACGCCATGGACACCTGTTCGGCGACAGAGCAACACTCAGGATTGCACTGACAGATGAGCAGCGCAGCGCGCCAGGTGCATTGGCGGGAAATTCAAGTTTGTTTCCTGCGTGGAAAGCCAGAATTCTACCACTAAACCTGCTTCTCATATGTTTTGCTGTGTATGTTAACAACAACAATAACAATAACAACAACAAAACTTAGGAAAGAAAACAAAAGAACTGTGGAAGTGAGGTGCAGGCCAAGTCAGGCCGGGCGGGGCGTTGCGGAGCTGGGAGGGCAGAAGCCGGTGCTCAGCGCTCAGGGCTCAGGCGCAGGCGCACTAGGGGGCTGAGCCAGGCCTTGCGTATTGGTGGGTGGTGTGTGTCGCCGAGCCTATAGGGCAGAAGCCAGCATTCAGCACGCAGGCGCATCAGGGGGGCCCACTGGGCAGGGGGCGTCGTGGAGCCTAGAGGGCAGCAGCTGGCGCGCAGGCGCACCAGGGGGCCCACCCAGGCCAGGAGGGGGGCATCCCGGAACCGGGGAAGCGGGCGGGGCGGAAGCGGGTTCTGGGAAGGCTGGCCGCTCTGACCGTTGCAGGCGTCATTGTCCGGGTGCGGCCAGGTGGCCTGGGCGCGCGGAAGTGTGTGCGGGAGGAAGTTATTTAGGGCACGAGGTGACGTCGGGGTCGAGGTCGGGGTTCGTGGCCCCTCCTGCCGGCCGCAGGTTTTCCACTGTGCATGCAGCTGCTGGTCAAGGGGCGCTGCGAGCAATGCAGACCCACCCTTTTTCCCCCGCTGCATCGTGGGCGCGCGCACGCTAGCGTGCCCGGTCATGGAGGGTGTGGAATTCCGCAGATCCCCATACTCTGCCCCCGTCTCCCACTCCTGGCCTGATTTCCCGGGCTGCGCCGTGCTGCCTGCCCTCAAGCCACACAGGACTGGCGGGTGGAGTGCGAGGGGTCAGTGGAAGCCGGAGGGAAAGGACCTCCCTGTCCAGGGCTCACATGTCTTACTCCACTCTCCCCTAATCCTGCTGCCTCGAGTCGACTACACTCTTGGTGACCCTACAGGACAGAGTAGAACTGCGCTATAAGGCTTTACAGGAGCATCAGTGGATTCAAACCACCGACCTTTTGGCTAACAGCCAGCACTTTACTCACTATGCCACCAGGACATCTATAAGAGCTCTCTCCCAGCGGCAATTTAAGACTGCAGCCGAGGTGCTGGCCATCTCTCAACTCCTGTGCGTCCTCTTACCCTGCATCTATCGTGCTTTTTATCCTGGAGTTCCAGATAGTGGCTGAGCTACCTCTGTCTGAGTGGTTGGAGGGAAGGAGAGAGCTGGGCGTAATGGGGCTTCTTGTTGTTATGTGCCCTCGTGTCGCTTGCGATTCATAGTGACCCTATGTACGACAGCTCTAAACTCTGTCCTGTGCCAATTGCACTGTCTCTGACCTCCCATCCCGATTATCCCAGTCACCTTATAGAGGGCCTTGTTAGCTTCCTTAAAAATGGTTCCCAGTCAACACACGTGGCCTGGCACTCCTCCGTTCTCACAGTGGAAGCTGCGTTGGAGTCTATTGTTGAGCCAGTATGCCATTCCATCTCACTGGGGTCTTCCTCTTTTGTGCTGACTCTACTTTATCAAGCATAATGTCCTTCTCCAGGGCCTGCTTAGCACTCCTGATGTCCAAGCTGTGTGAGACAAAATTTCACCATCCTCACTCTGAATGTATTTCTTCGAGGACAAATTTGTTCCATCTAGCAGTCCATTATAGACTCAATATTGAATATACCAAGGGAGGACATAGGACTCTGCGTTCATTCACTCAGAGATTCACTCATTTGTTCAACAGGTATGTACAAGTCCAGGAAGAGGATGATATTGTGAACAAAATACACAGATTACTGCTTGGAGGAAGAGATGGCAGGGAATAAAGTAAGAAAAGAAAATTATGTGTACTGCGTTGAAACAGATGAGGGAGAGAACTGTTTAAAAGCGATACATGATTAGGTATTATTGTCATGACAGGAGTCCAGAACAAAGGCTGCATAGTGGAGTGGATTTGGGGGAGGGATTGTATAGCAATGAAAGAATTTTTCTTTTACTTTTTAAAGAGAAGAGGGAACTGGGGGAGAGGGGTGGGCAGGGAGAAAAGTGCAACAATAAATGAATGGAAATCCAAAGTCTATAAATTTTCATTAAAATTAATAATAATAAAGTCATAGACAGTGTGAAGCGTTTCAAAAGTATCTCTGGGACCCCAATTATCTAGGTTCCTGGATTCATTTGAGCTCATTGCAGATGGGATGTGTAGAGACCCTTTAAGGCCAACTGTTAAATTTTGGGTGCTTTCCTTTGTTCCTTTTTTCCTTAAAGCCCAGCAAGCAATTGAAGTCAAGATGTGGACCTGTTGTGGATTGACTTGTATCCCCCTAAAATATGTACTGTAAATTCTAAACTGTGGTTAACCCTCTGTCATCAAGTTGATTCCTTTGGATTTTCCAGGCTGAGAAATCATACCAGGAGCAGACTGCCTCATCTTTCTCCCACCAAGATGGTGGTTTTGAACAGTTGACTTTTCAGTTAGAAGCTCAACACTGCACAAGTCAGGTGGGGACAATTCTTGAGGAAAGGTAGCATGCTTGGTGAAATAAGAGAGTCACTGAAAAAGAGGAAGACCCTCAGTGTATTGAGCAGCTGCAATAATGGGTCCACCCGTAACAGTTTTAATAAGCTGTCACAGGAGCAGGGGAGTGGAGGGAGTCCTGTTGTATGTAAGATCACTGGAGTTGGAACTTGTTGGACGGTTTGTAACAACAGTCTGCCTGTGGTTATAATCCTGGTCAGGAATTGATGATTTTTGTTATGTTGATGAGACATGATTATTTTCGAGAATGTCTTAAATCTTTTTTGAGATATAAAATAGATTAAACAAGCAAGAGAGAGAAGCAGAGATGAAGTTAGATGTCAAGACACATAAAGATGTTCTCTAATGAACATAGAAGCAAAAGTTGATGAGACAAGGACCTTCTATCAAAAAGGACAGAGAAAAATCTTCCCCCAGAGCTGGTGCTTTGAATCAGGAAGACCAGTCCTTGGAATAAGACCTCATGCTTGGAAAGGTCACTGAAAGAGAGGAAAACCCTCAAGGGGATGGATTGACACAGTGCCTGCTGTGTGTGCTCACGTGTGTCAGGATGTGATGAATGTGGCATAGGGTGAGGCAAGGTTCAGGTTAAGAGGGTCGTGTGAGTTGCAGTTGATGAAAAGGCACTAAAAACAAGCCTCCTAAATGTGGGAGAAAGCAAGGCATCTCTTCCCATGTGATTGACAGCCTCTGCGAACCTGCAGAGGAGGGTCAAGTAGGAGTTGGTTTCAACTCAGCAGCGTGTAACAACAACCTTAAGAATAAACTTCTAAACAAGGAACTCATGCAATATTATTCAAAATGGGTGACCCTGGAGGACATGATGCTAAATGAAATATCTCAGTCACAAAAGGA